CCCAAAGGGGATCCCTACGGAAGACTCAGCTTCTAGAAACCCCAAGCCAAGAGGGGTGCTGACAGATGGCGGCAGCAGCTGAGCAGGTAACAGCTGAGCCAGACACATACTAAGTGGGGGATGGAAGGCTTCTCTGGCCTCCACACCTCAAAGAGGTACTGGGGTCTCTGTCCATGCTGGGCAGAAGCAGGTGCAAGCTCCAGAGAGGACCAAACACCACAAGGTCATTTTCTCTCTAAAGCTAGCCTACCTGAGTTAGGGGAGTCACTTGGTGGTGTCTGGAGCTGTGTTTATAACAATAATAGCACCCTAGTAGCCAAACCCTGACTGTGTTATGCACCCCACACTTCGTATTCACACTGTAATATTTCCATTTTCAAGATGAGAAAACTGGGGTTCAAAAGGAAAAATTATTTGCTCAAGGTCCTAGAACAAACAAAAGGCAATACTACTGGCTAGTACCTAAAACCAGGGCAGGGCAGAAGCCAGTTTGTCTGCAGGGCAGGGGTGTGCCTTGAATGTTATTTGTGTACACGTGATGTGTATATAGGTAAGCATGGATTTGAGAAGCCTAAGAAATCCGCCCACTTCTGTTCCCTTCTGCCAGGCTCCTGAGTGCTATCCCTCCTCCACACACAAAACCCCTACATCCCCAAATGCCTTCTCCTGACAATGGAACCAGGATCTCTCTTCATTGGGACAATAGTTCCTCAACCAGACAAGGGCCGCAGCTGTCCCCTCCCACTCGGACAGCTGATCCAGCACCTGCCCCTGTCCCCTCCCTAATTAAGGGATCTGTTTAGAGGTGGCTAGGAGGAAGGACTCTTGAGATTTTCTTGGGCAAAAGATATCTGGCTTTCGTCTCTCCACACTGAGTGGGCCTCTGACTTTGCAAAAGCTGAGATTTACAGGACCCCTCACTCAGCAGGTCAACTGTCTTGGCCAGAGTCCTCAGTGTCTGCACTACTAGCCGTTGGAACCCCATAATCCTTTGTTGTCTTAGTTACTGCCAGATATGTAGCAGCATCTCTGCTTCTATCCACCAAATACCCACAGCCCCATCCCAAGTGTGACAATCAAAAATGGTCCCTGTGGGCTGGGCCAGTGTATTCCCAAAGATGTGGGGGTAGACGGTGTGGGGAGGACAGAGGAAGTGTTCTCACAAGATCTTAACACAGCAGTGCCTGACGCTTCCTACAGAGGCCACTCAGTGTTGAACTGTGGAGCAGGGAGTAGTTTTTAGCCCTTGGGAGGCAGAGGCAGGTGGGTATCTGAGTTCAAGGTCAGCTGGTCTACAAAGTGAGGACAGCCAAGGCTACACAGAGAAACCTTGTCTCAAAAGAAAAAAAAAAAAAAAAACACTGCAAAACAGAAAACACACACAGCTACCAGGTACAGGCCCACTAAACAGCCTGCCAAGTCTAGCTTACACTCAGCACTCATTCATGGCCAATTAACTAGAGCTCAATCCAAAGCCAAGACTCACTCATTGATTCCTGAAATGAAAGTGCCTTCCATACAGCTTCACGCTGCTGCCTCCCCAAGTCCTCTCAACACCCACTATTCCACCCTACCCCAGAACCATATACAGCCGCAAACTCCTAAGGAATTGCTGGGCATCCAAACACTGATCCCTCTGCCCCCTACTGCCTACCACTAAGTGTTTTTAAAAGAACTGCACGCACGTGAAACAAGCATTCTTTCCCCCGTGCATCTGAGGCACGGGCAGTCTAAGCCACAGACTGCCAGCAGTTCTTCCTATCACACCCACCCTGGGCTTAAGAACTCTGGCCTCAGGCTCCAGAAACTGCTCTCAGACTGCAGGAAGTGCTTCCCTGTCTCCTTCCTCCACCCAGCAAGAAAGTCAAGGTCTCCTCTCGGGTGGAGGCGGGGCTGCCGCCCCACAGCTCCAGTCTCCCCACTACCACGATTACCACCACCAAGGAACACTCCGGCACAACCCGCCCTACTCACAGGACGCAGAGTGCGAAGGCCCCCGCCACGCTCTCGCTGTCTCGCACCAGGAAGCTGCCATCGCGGCCCGCCCGAGCCAGCAGCTCCTCCGCCGCAGCGCGGCTCAAGTCGCGGTGATACCAGGCAGGGGCCGGGCTTCCCAGCGCGCCCCCGGGGCCCGGCGCCCCACACACCGAGGCCATGGCCCGCCTAGGGCTCAGCGCCGCCGATGCCTGCCGCCCCGCGCCATCCGCCCGGGAAAGCTTGGAGTCGAGGCTGGGGCCGTGCCCGGGTCCCGGGCCTGAGGATCCACCAGCCGGAGCGAGCCCGAGATCGGGGCTCCACGCCTGGCCGCACCGGCCGCCTCGAACTCAGCGCAGCCGCCGCCGCCAGCAGCGCCGGCCCCAACTTGAAGAGAAAGAAAGAAAAGTTTGTTCAGAGGCGGCGGGGGAGGGGCAGGAGCGACGCTAGGAGCCGGCCGGTCCCCTCCCCCTCTACTCGGCCGAGGGCCCAGGCCGCCCCTGCCCCCAACCTCTCAGCAAGGACGATGCCCCCACAAGTCTTACAGGGCTCGCACCTCCCCAAACCCCGCAATTATCTTGTCCCCCACCTCAAGAAGATCCAGTTCCCCGGACCCAGTCCGGGACAATTTGAGAGTCCCAGATCTCGCCGGTGAATTAAACCCTTCCAACTATTCGCAATGAGATGACCCTTAATCCCTATAAAAGTCTGATTCTACTACACGTCCTTTCTACTCGGCACCCCCCAGCTTTGCGGAATCAGGGTTCTCAAAGGAAGGCACCGGGATGAATCTCTCCAACAAATATCCCTATCATCTATGCGTACAAGTTTCCCCAACTCTTGTGGGGGATCACGATCAGAGCCCCTTCCACCTGAACCCCTAAACTCCGGTCCCTGACACATCCCACAAGACCCCATCCAAGGAGATCCGATTACACACGCACACGCACGCGGTCCAATATCCTCAAGTTCCACACGCACGGGTCCCCGCAGGCCCTCCAAGCCTGGCAGAGCCCTTCCCCCATCCCCGCCAAGTTCCCTGGCACCACGCCCCACACCCGCAGTCCTAGACCTGGGGTACCCCTCCAGACCATCTAGAAAAAAGTTCCCTCAAGTCCCAGTGCCTCGGCCGCCTCGCACAGGCCGCACCTCTGGGGCGACTCGGGTGACTCCTAGCCGGGGAAAGCCGTCCCGGACTCCCCGAGGCCACTTAAGATGGCCATCCGCCGCCACCGCGCACCCCGCGCCTTCCGCCCCGCCCGAGCCCCGCCCCCGGAGCCCGGACTGCCCCGCCTCGCCCGCCCGCGTCCGGGTCCCCGCGCCGCGCGCCCGCAGAGTGACCTCGGGCCGCTCTCGGGTCTCCCCGCGTCCCGGCTTCCCGCTCCCGACTGGGGTAGCGTTCCGAGGGCGGACTCGTGGAGGCTCTGCCTGTAAAGCTCGGGCCTGGCCCGCTGCGGGCGCTCCCGGACGGCGGCTATTTTTATTATTAATTAAGGAGTAAAAAAGGTGACAGCTGTGTAAACTGTAAAGCGCGACTGGGGACTGAACGGTATTATTAGCACCGCCCCCGCCCCGGCTACTCCCTCCGAGTCAACAAACTTGCGACTCGGCCGGCCAGGTGCGAGCGGGAAGCTCCGGAGACCCTGGTCGCCGCGACCTCCCATCCTCCCACCCCTGGGGCGGAAAGGGGGAGCGGCGGGAGAAGATGGGGCGAAACCCAAACGGGGCTCTAGCCCGCCCCATTTTCCCCCTAAAAAAAGACCTGGACGGTGGCGGAGTCTCCCGGGATTTCTCTTCCTGCCCCGCCCCTCTGCCCCCTAGTTCCTTAAAGGCGCAGGCCTCCAGCCGTTCGACTTCAGCCTCCAACTCCCGGGACACTGCCTGAGCATCCCTTTAATCTAGGAGAGTACTTTCGCTTTGGTAAGTTGAACCTGTTGACCCAGCCTGGGGTCAGCCCTGTGGAGTTTCCTCTGTTTCGAAGGTGTGTTGGCTGAACCCAGCCTGGAACAAAGCGTGGACGACGTGAAGAGGAGGTCTGTGGGGGCCTTCCTGACCAGATTACTACAATAGCAGAGATCCTCTACCCACCTACCTGTTTCTCTGGTCCTGCCAGGGCTTAAATAAAAACACTCATCCTCCAGTCTGTATCCAACTCCTCCTGCCCCTTTTCCCGTGAGGAACGTAGGTGTGCCTCCTGTCAGGGGCACCCTGGTGTTAACGGCCAGAGAGCTAGACTATGGATCTGCAATTTAGGCTCTAGCCCCAACAACTGGTGTATTGGTCTCATACCTGTACCTCACAGAGGGTAACTGTCGTAGGGATGTGGAGTTAGAGAAGTTCCCAAGGGAGGAAGAGAGGGCTCAACAGGCCCAGAAATCAACTCAAGCTCAGATCCTGGAGGTGTGCAATGACTCAGCAAACAGGGGTCTTACTGTCTCAGGAGGCAGAAGCACCATCCCTACCTATCTCTCCCTACTCTATCTCTTACACGTTATAAGCAGCTTTCTTGGTCTAGAGTTTCAGCCACCCAAGTCTACATGGGAGATCCGGCCTCAAAGAAGGAAAGAACAAGGAGGAAGAGAAAAAAGCTGTAACAACCCTCCAAAATCAATATCTACAGCCCCGCAAGAACAGGCTGCTAAAGATTGGGTCTTTGGGATGAGACGGCTTAGCGGGTAAAGCTGCTTTTGCCAAATCAGAAGTTGAACTGAATCCCAGGGACCCACATGTTGGAAGGAGAGGGCTCCTGCATGTTGTCCTGACTTTACAGCTGTGTCAAGACACCCATGCAGCCACACACACGTGCACACCCCCCGAATAAATACAAATGTAATTTAAACACAGGACAGAGCTGCTCCTGCCTCAGGGAAGCCTGGAAAGGGTTTCTACCTTCAGCATCATCTGCAGGACACAGCACTGGGCAAATGCAAACTCGCATTTCCTCTGTATCCTCAGTCGGGTTCCTAATGGACTCTTCCTCTTCCGAGGGGCCCAGGCCCAGTCTATCTACATCATGTAGGCAGTGTGAAGTTTTCCCCCTTTCTATTTCCAGTTTTCCCATTGTAAGCTGAGTAGCGAGATAAGCAGACACATGGTGGGGTATGGGGAATGTGATTTTATTTTTGTTGGAGGCAGTATCTCTCTCTCTTTAAATTTATTTATTATGTATACAGGGTTCTGCCTGCATATATGTCTGCAGGCCAGAAGAGGGCATCAGACCCCATTACAGATGGTTGTGAGCCACCATGTGGTGGCTGGGAATTGAACTCAGGACCTCTGGAAGAGCAACCAGTGCTCTTAACCTTTGAGCCATCTCTCCAGCCTGGAGACGGTGTTTCTTATATCCCATATTGTCCTCAAATTCTCCATGTAGACAACGATGAGACTGAGCTTCTTATCCTCCTACCTTCTTCTCCCAAGTGCTGGGATTGCAGGCCTATGCCAACACCCTTTAGGATAGAACCTAGAGCTTCTGAATGCGAGACAAACACTCTTCCAACTGAGTTACAGTCTCAGCCCACGAAGGGATAATGTTTGGGAACTATATAAATAAGAAATCCTGGATCTGCCTCTCACTTGGGGCCCCAGAAACAACTAGATTCCTACAGACTACTAATGCTTAGACACTTAGTTCATCCACCTTCTGGGAGGAGGGCACTAACTACAAGCTTTTATATGGTGACAAGGGCATTCAAACACTCTATTTGCTCTGACCCCAAAGGATCTGTCCCCGCCCACCCACGAACTCACAATGACTACAGTTTATTAGACCTAGATGTGCCGCAGATTTATTAGAAATGACTGTTTAGGAAGCCGGAGCCCCATCGTGGAGCAGGAACTGGAGGCAGAGGAGTGAGGTGGAGCAGGCTTAGGACTTCCTCTTTCTTGATAGAGAAGACTGACCTCAGCCAAGGAGCCAGAATGACAGCACTGGGGCCAGGCTGGGCACAAGAGGCACCACTGACTGGGGAGCAGCCCCAGCTGACACAAGGGAAGCATAGAATGCAGCCACCTCCTCATTGGGATTGCCCTGGGCTGGGTCGAACCACATCTGAATGCAGCGGCGGCTCCCTCGGCTGTAGTTGCTGACCTTGTAGGAGTGGCTCCAGAGACCCTCACACAGGCTGGCTGGTGTGGGGAAGTACTGCTGAAAGGTGAGGCAGGCTGCAGAGGCCGGGCACTTGTTAATGCCTGCAGGCAGAACCATGGTGGACACAGGCCTTCAGCCCTAGGGTCAAAACTCACCCCAGGAATCTTTAATCTCCCTTTTCCAAACCCTAACTCCATCTGACCCCGTGGCCCTCACCTGAGGTCCAGTCCCAGCCTTTATGCCAGTCCATCTTGCAGGTAAATGAGGTGCGGCAGGCCTCCCACCACTCCTGACAGTCCTCTCTGCACAAGGGAACACCCAGGAAGCGCTCTTTACGCCAGCTCTGGTCCACCTGGGTAGAGGGGATGTTGGCAGCTATAGCTGTAAAGAAACTGAGCCCAAGGGCGCCCTCCTGACCCATTACCTGCTGAATCCAAGGCCCCAGGTTGGGGGAGCACTCATACAGACAGGTGTCTTGGATGAAGTGCCGCTTGCAGGCAGGGGTCATCTTGCCACAGTGATCCCAGTTGAAGTTGTACAGACGGGAGTTGTCTTTGTGTATCTCCTGGCTGGTGTTGACTGAGCAGCAGGCGTTTTCCTTCCATGGCCTACACTAGTTGGGAAAACGCAGGGCTGAGTCTCTGTACCTGCTCTGTATTCCATGTCAGCGTCCAGCCGTGTTTCCCTTGGTCCTCACTTCCTTGCCCTAGATAGGCTGTTCTGTGAACACTGACCAGAGGCCCCTCTCTCTTACCTTCAGGAGTCCCCTTCTCTAGGGAGATTCGGTTGCCACAATACGATGACAAAGCTAGAGGAGCTTTGTCTTTGAGATAATAGTTCTCATTTATATAGCGCCGCACACTCTATAAAAACTCTTTTCAAAAAAACAAAGCTGGGTGGTGTTGGCTCACACCTTTAATCCCAGCACTCGGGAGACAGAGGCAGGCGGATCTCTGTGAGTTTGAGACCAGCCTGGTCTACAAGAGCTAGTTCCAGGACAGGCTCCAAAACCACAGAGAAACCCTGTCTCAAACAAACAAACAAACAAAAAAAAACAAAAAGCTATGGAGAAACCCTGTCTCGAAAATCCAAAAAATAATAATAATAAAAAATAAATAAAAATAAAGGACCTACATGACCGAGAGAACTGACTCCTGCAAGTAGTCCTTTGACCTCCTCACATGTGCTATGCATGTATGTGTGCTTCCATGAGCAAGCATGTGTGTATGACACACACACATAGTAAATACATGTAATAAAGGTTGAATATCACATTCTGTGCTCTTATGAGTTTTTTACAATTTTTTTAAATTTCATGTGTGTGCCTACATGTATGAATGAGCAAATCAGAAGAGGGCATCAAATCTTCCGGAACTGGAGTTATAGGTAGTTGTGAGCTGCCTTGTGCATGCTGGGAATTACATTCTTCAGTCCAGTCCTCCTCAGCAGCAGTAAGTACTCTTAACTGCTGAGTCATCTCTCCAGTCCTGTGTTCAATACTATATAGAATAGATACAGATATATAGATACACATCAATACTATTATACATATTCTAATCTGTATTAGTATATACTAATAATAAAACAATTACTATATATAAATATTAACATATAATCCTGGCATAGACATAGCAATCAATAATAAAATGAACTGTCAAAATAAATAAATATAAATAAGGTTTTGGGGTGTTTTTTGCTTGCTTGTTTTTTTTAATTTTTTTTTAATTTTTATTTATTTATCATGTATACAATATTCTGTCTGTGTATATGCCTGCAGGCCAGAAGAGGGCACCAGACCTCGTTACAGATGGTTGTGAGCCACCATGTGGTTGCTGGGAATTGAACTCAGGACCTTTGGAAGAGCAGGCAATGCTCTTAACCTCTGAGCCATCTCTCCAGCCCGCTTGCTTGTTTTTGAGGCAAGGTCTCACTCTACTTTTGGCTGCCTTGGAACTCTGTAGATCATGCTAGCCTTGAACACGTGGAGATCTTCTAGTCTCTGCCTCCTGAGTGTTGGGTTTAAAACTGTGTGCCACCTCACCTGACCATGTTTTTGTATTTGTTTTTAACTTTAAATTTCTTTCCAGAATATAAAAGGGTATTAAATATTTTTATTACAAAAAGGCCACACTGAGTTTCCATCTGTTGGCGTAAATGTTTATAAACGGTGTGGATGGCAGTCCACACCTGTGACTCTCATAGAGGGCCTTCCCATTTCTGTGTTTGGTCCCGCTGGCTACTGAGAGTAGAAACCATCTCTCCCGTGGTTTCTCACCCTCCAGATTTCTAGAGCAGCTCTCCCTAGTCCTCCCCGAACCATGCCATGGGGCTGTGTCTAACTGCTGTGGGTCTGTGTGCTTCCATGGACTCTGATTATCATTGCATGGCCTCTAGGTAGAGGCTCTAAAGAGCGGTGTATCATGGCCACCACCTCGCCGCTTTCCCGGCTCCACCACATCACCTCCAACCATCCCCAGCAGTCCAGCAGCAGCTCAGAGTGTGTGTTGTGGGGGGTGGTCTGGCTGCTCACCCCCTCCCCGCGACTTCCTCCTCCCTGACGACACCACACTCATCAGAACCTGGTCATGCAGCTTGTCTTCCGGGCCCGGCCTTGTCTTGTGGTGCTTGGCATCCATGCAAGTGTTGAGCAGGTCTGCTCTGTCCCGGGCACTGCATGTGGTGGCTATGCAGACCAAAAGCAGCACTGGTGTCTGTTTGTAGGCCATGTCTTTCTGTCTGTGCAGAGAGAGCTATGGTTAGGGAGACCTAGACACCCCCTTGTTCCCTGTGGGTGTTTCATTCCTTCCCTGCCTCAGACTCTCTGTCCCAACAGTAAAAGATAAGGTCAGACCCTGCTCCTTTAGCCCTTAGACCCTGAGGCTCCCTAAGCCTGGAACAAAGATCAGCAAGAATGCTCTCTGACCCCGTGGGACAGGAGGTTTATAAAAGGAGCTGGGCTTCCCAGGCTGGAAGAAATGTGATGTCCTCGTCTTCTTTCCGGACTCTTTGACATGTAGTTCGATGTTCAGGTCCCTGACTGCTTGCTACCTTGAGAAGGGCCAGGACACACAGATGCTTCATCCTGTCACAAGCAAGTTCTCTGCACTCAGCCTGTATCAGCTAGGTCATCATGTCAGACTAGAAATCCCTGCCGAGTTCTGCAGAGTGGCCATAGGATCAAGTGACAGACCCTGTAGGATGGTGTTTGGTCAGAGGGTCGCTTCCTATTTTCCTTCCCTGTTCTCCAAAAGCCCTGCACCCTAGCCTGACCCAGCTTCTGCGGCAAATGCACCAGACCCTTGCTAAGCTCTCAAAGAAAACACACAGAACAAATTCAGCTGCAATTGGTGGGACATACCTATAATTTTCATATATTGAAGAGGGGGATGAGGCAGAGGAATTGTGGGGTTTAGGTCAGTCTGGGCTACATAGTGATAATTCCCCCACTCCAAAGAGCTGAGGGATAATATAAAAGTCTCTCTTGGGGCTGACAAGATGAAATAATATGTATGAATGACTTGAATTCAATCCCTGTGATAGCAGGAAAGAACTGACTCCCCACATGTATATGTCCTCAAACACATTCAATCAATCAATAAATGTGAGGCATTTTTAAAGATTTGGATTTTAAAAACGCATACATGCATACACACGTGCATACTTACATAAATATCCCCTTGTTAGAGCAACTAAACTAACACTCGGGGGAAGAACCTGGGGAACACGATGATCCCTTCTCTGCTCCCTCCCACCTTCACCTCACCCTGGCAGATCTTCTCCTTCAGGGCTCCCTCTGTGGAGCACCTAAGCCCCTCCCCCCTCGCCGTCTCAGCACACATTGACCCCTTCTGCGGCTTACCTCCCAAGGCTACATTCAAGGGACAAGTTTTTCCTCCAGTTTCTTCTTTGAGTCATTCACCTTCCTCACAGAAGCCAGAATGATCTATCTCTGTTTTCTTTTTCCTTTCTTTCTCTCAGTCCTCCCTTTCCTGTTTCCTTTCTTGTTTTTTTTTTTTTTTTTTTTTTTTGAATTTTTTCGAGACAGGGTTTCTCTGTAGTTTTTGGTGTCTGTCCTGGAACTAGCTCTTGTAGACCAGGCTGGCCTCGAACTCACAGAGATCCGCCTGCCTCTGCCTCCCGAGTGCTGGGATTAAAGGCGTGCGCCATCACCGCCCGGCTCTTGTTCTTTTTCTTAATAATTTTTTTATGTGCATTGGTGTCTTGCCTGCATGTATGTCTGTGTAAGGGTGTCAGATCCCCTGGAATAGGAGTTACAGACAGGTGTGAGCTGTCGTGCGGGTGCTGGGAATTAAACCTGGGTCCTCTGCAAGATCTGCCAGTGCTCTTAGCCACTGAGCTATCTCTCCAGCCTCTTTTTTTTTTTTTTTTTTTTTTTTTTTTAAGACAGGGTCTCTGTGTGGCCATAGCTGGCCTGGAGCTCACAGAGCTCATCCTTCCACTTCTTTTCTTATTTTATTTTCCTTCCTCTAGAACTAGTCATGGACCCTAGAGCCTTAAAAACACTAGACCAGAGCTCTTCCGCTGAGCTACATTTCCAGGCCAGAGATTTTAGATTTGTTTTTATTTTAATTATAGTAGTCAAGTGTATCTGCGTGTGGATATGCGCATGAGGGTGCAGGTGTCCACAGGGGTGAGAGTGCTCTTTCAGAGAGAGAGAGGTCCCTTCTTTGAACAAACCGCCCAGTCCCCCAATGTCCTTGTCATCCTTCCCACTTGGAAGACCTTACCTGAATGTCCTTGCCTTCTGGGAGCACACATAGGAGTGTCCAAGTTGGCCTGACCCTAGGCTAGCAGCAGCTCAGAGCCTGGGCAGTCCCCACAGTCTTTGTCCGCAGCTGAGCACAGAGGATGAGCGCTTTGGTAAGCACAAAATGAAATATGCCCGCTCATCACTTCTGTTCTTCCTTCTCTTGCAAACCCCACCCTCTTCGGGGCTCCGTGAGATCATCATCTAGTCTTTGCTGTTTTCATTCATCTCTACTTTTGTTCTCCCATTTTGTTTTTTCGAGACAGGGTTTCTCTGTGTAACCGCCCTGGCTATCCTGGAACTCTCTCTGTAGACCAGACCATGCTGGCCTCGAACTCACAGAGATCCGCCTGCCTCTGCTTCCCAAGTGCTGTGATTAAAGGCGTGCATCACCACTACCCGGCCTTTCTTTTTTTATTTATATATGTGCCCCGTGTATGTGGGTACCCACAAAGGACAGAAGACAGCACGAGACCCACTGGAGCTGGGCCACCCTAAACGGAGGTGCGCATAACTGTGGAAGCCTCTCCCAAGCCCCCTTTCTGTAGTTCACACACTCAGCATCCACCAATATCTGGACCGCTGTCCATCCCTGAGGGAATCCGAAGTTTGTAGATACTGCAGATGGTTCTTAGGACAAGGCTGGCTTTGGTGCTAAACCCTGGCTGAGAAGAAACCAGGCTGTAAGATCATGCCAATAGGGCCCAGTGAGAAATCCGCCCCTTTCAAAGCTCCCAGGAGTCCCTAGACCTTACCAAGCCATAATTGGCTCCACAAAACAATTTGAGAATTATACATGTAAAAGCCTGGCACATCCTGCATAGGCATAAATGATTTCTGTCAGCTTAAGTTGAGAGTAGACACAGGTAGAAGCTGACAGATTTTACCCGCTATACAAAAAAAGCTTAAATTGTCTTTCTTAACCATTTTTATAGATTTGTTGTTGTTGTTTTTTGAGACAGGGTTTCTCTATGTATCTTTGGCTGTCCTGGAACTCACTCTATAGACCGGGCTGGCCTCGAACTCACAGAGGTCTGCCTTCCTCTGCCTTCTGAGTGCTGAGATTAAAGGCATGTGCCACCACTCCTGGCTTAGATTATTATTATTATTATAATATGCCATCACCACCTGACTGGTTATTCTTATTTTATGACTGTGTGTATTTTGCCCTCGGAGACCGGAAGAGGGTATAGGATCCCCAGAACTGGAGTGAGAAGTGGTTGTGAATTGATGCGTGGATGCTGGTGATCCAACCAAGACTTCTGCAAGAGCAGCAAGTGCTCTTAACATAAGCCATCTTTCTCCCCGTCTTAACCCTTTAAAACTACGTTGGTCGGGCTGGAGAGATGGCTCAGAGGTTAAGAGCATTGCCTGCTCTTCCAAAGGTCCTGAGTTCAATTCCCAGCAACCACATGGTGGCTCACAACCATCTGTAATGAGGTCTGGTGCCCTTTTCTGGCCTGCAGGCATACAGGCAAAATGGAATATTGTATACATAATAAATAAATAAATAAATAAATAAATAAATAACTACCTTGGTCACTAGTGGCCATCCGAGTCACTTTGGAGTCCAATCTCCGTAGCCTTTGGATCCTGTCCTGCAGAATTGATACTCTTGAACTAGACCTGGAGGCACAAGCTGGTTACCACAGCTACTCAAGAGGCTGAGGCAGGAGAATCACAAGTTCAAAGCCAGTATAGGTTGCAAAATGAATTCAAGGCCAGCATGGGAAACTTAATGAAACTGTTTAAAAATGAACTCCAGGAGCTCACCAAGTAAGTGGAGCTGTCTCTGCCTCCCTAATGATAGGGTTCTAAGCCTTCACCATCATACCCAATTTTTTTTTTCATATCTAGAGATGGGGTTTAGGTCTTCATACTTTTTTACAAACATTATAAAAATTAAATAAATAAATAATAATGTAATTTGGCAATTCTGTAAATCAGATAACTCTTTCCACAATCAGAGTGTATGGCTGTTATGTGGGGGGGTTTGTAGTTCTTGTGTTTGTTTCTTCTTTTGTTTTATTTGAAGACAGTATCTCGTTAAGTAGCCCAGTCTAGCGGCAGATGTCTTGCCTTGGCCTCCTGGGACTTCAGGCATGTTCTACCTTGCTGGCTAGTTGTGGCTGTTTATTTAGTGATTTTCATAGAATAATTCTATAAAATCTATTTTCTTTGTCCTGTGTGCTCACTGAAGTTTCTGCCTGGCTAACTTAGAAGTCAATTAATATGCCGGGCGATGTGGCACACACCTTAAATCTCTGCATTTGGAAGGGAGAGGCAGGCTGACTTCTGAGGCCAGCCTGATCTACAGAGTGAATTCCAGGACAGCCAGGGCTGTTACACAGAGAAAATCTGTCTCAAAAAACAAACAAACAAAAAAGTCAACTAATAAACTGGTAATTCCTTGTATGCCTCAAACCATAAGCTTCCTCCCCTTCCTCTGGGCTCTGCATGTTGGTTGGACCAGTCGTTCAGTGCTCTGGCAGTCGGCTCTGCCTTTGCCTTCTCTTCCTGACAATGCCATCCAGCCTTGGGATCCCTGAAGCTGAGTGTCTTCTCAGGCCTTCCTAGACATCCAGGGATGCTCCAGAGCTTTCCAAAGGGCCCTGTACACATCTCGTTCCCTTTAACTATTGTGGTTAGCCTCATGTTTCCCTTCTCCTTCTTCCTGCCTTTGACAGTTGGAAGGTGAAACAATTAGTTGCTGAAGGTTTGTGCAAACATAGAATTTTTCACCATGTGAGCTTCAAGCAGGGTCAAATAAAGACCTGTGAATGGTAGCTGAGTTTACTTATTTTATTCCACTATTTTGAGACAGGATTTCATTATATTTGCCAGGCTGGCCCCTAATTCCCAAGTTCAACTAATCAGTAGATAGGACTTCACGCACAGGCCACGGCACCTGGAACGAATGAGACTTTTAAGGGGGCAGCCCAATGGATTGAAGAGTATGATCTCCAGACGGGGCTTTGGGGAGGCTCCAAACCCATTCTGCCCCCTCTAGTGGCTGCCAGGATCTTGGTTTTCACAACTGCGGTAGTGAGACTGTTGATTTTGAAAGCTTCTAATGTGTAGTTTCCAAAACACAAGTAAAAATGCCACACAAGGCACACTGTGCCTGCTGAGATTCAGCCTGCTTGCCTGCTTTTGCTTAAGGTTTGAAAATTTTTTATATAGTTGTGTGTGTGTGCCTGAGTATGTATGTATGTATGTATGTATGTATGTATGTATGTATGTATGTATGCATGCATGTAGCACAAATACTTGGTACCAATTTCTGTCTCACTTGTTTTCTATAGCTATGATAAAGCACATGACCAAAAGCGACTTGGTGGGGCAGGAGATGGCTCAGTGGCTGCTCTTCCAGAGGTCCAGGCTCAATCCCAGCACCCACATGGCAGCTCACAGCTGTCTGTAGCTCCAATTCCAGGGCTTCTGACACCCTCACACAGGCATATGTGAAGGCAAAACACCAGTGCACATAAGATAATTTCATCTTAGTGTCCACCTTCCATCATGAAGGGACGTCTCAAGCTGAGAGATACCATGGAGGAATGCTACTTCTGGCTTGCTCAGCTGCTTCCGTGCACAGTCCAGGACCAGCAGCCCAGCACTGCTCCCGTGGGCTGTGCCCTCACACTCAGGTCCTTGATCAAGCCCCACAGACTTGTCTGCAGGCCTTTTTATAAAGTCCCCTTTCCCGATGGCTGTCTCCTGTTAAAGTGACAGAAACAAACCCGCACAACTGACAAACACACCCATTATTAAATCATAACCTTCCCCTTGTTTCCTAGGCTCATGATCTCATATTAATATCATAATATAAAACAAAGTAAAACCTTTTTTGTTTCTTTGGTTGTTTTTTTGTTTTTGTTTTTGAGATGGGTTTTCTGTGTAATATCCTAATGTCCTGGAACTCACTCTGTAAACCAGGCTGGCCTCGACTCTTTTTTTTTTTAACTTTTGGTTTTTTGAGACAGGGTTTCTCTGTGGTTTTGGAGCCTGTCCTGGAACTAGCTCTGTAGACCAGGCTGGTCTCGAACTCACAGAGATCCGCCTGCCTCTGCCTCCTGAGTGCTGGGATTAAAGGTGTGAGCCACCACTGCCAGGCTGTTCCTTCTATTTTTAAAAGCCTTGGTTGATTTTGAGAGCGTTGGAAAATCTGACATTGACACTTGCCACGGTTCTTGCTGCTTTGGGGAAGGACAGATTCTCAGGTGTCCTTCCTCTGCCCTTCTAGTAGTGCTGGCTCAGATCACTTCTATTTTAAGAAGTATAAAGCTTTAAACGATATTGGTCACCTAGAGTGTAGTCTATTCTTAACATGGGGAAATAAAAGTGTTTTTTGTTTCCTGTGCTTTCCCCTGACTACAGCTTTTAAGTCCTTACTCAACCTAAAAGTGAACTTTCACTTCTCAAAAAGTCTGTTATTTTAAGTTTTTTTTTTTCTTGCTTGCTTTCTTGCCTTTGTGCTGACTCATGTCAAATTCTCAGATCATGCTCTAACATAGTTCAGTGGGAGGGACCCCAGCTTAGAGATGTCACTTTTATTTTATTTTATTTCTTATTTGTGCTGCAAGGGATTGAACTAAGGGACTTGTGTTTGTTAGGCAAGCACGCTCCCACTCAACTGAAAACAGCCAGTTGTTTTGAAACACAGCACGCCTTTAATCCCAGCACTTGGGAGACAGAGCGGGCAGAGGTCTGTGAATTCAAGGCCAGACCAGTCTACACAGCAAGTTCTAAGACAGAGCTACACAGAGAAACCCTGTCTTGAAAAACAAACAAATATTAGCCAGGCAGTGGTGGCCTTTAATCCCAGCACTCTGGAGGCAGAGGCAGGCAGATCTCTGTGAGTTCGAGGCCAACCTGGTCTACAAGAGCTAGTTCCAGGACAGGCTCCAAAGCTACAAAGGAATCCTGTCTCGAAAAACCAAAAATAAAAAAGAAAAACAAACAAAAGTTGTCATTAACTATTGGGGTAGGTGGTCCTGGGTTATATAAAAAACAACTTGGCAAAGGTCTCACGAACTTGGTATATGGCTGAGAATGATGTTGAACTTCTTTTATTTTTTTAAATGTATTTAACTTTATTTTATGTGCAGTG